ATTCAAATGATTCCAAACACGTACCGAGCCCGCGATGTTGCAGGTGTCGAAGCGGGCCTGCGCCGCAGCCAACCACTCCGAGCACTGGCGATACTTGTCCAAGTAGGCCGCGTGGTCCTGCACAGCCTGTTTGCACTTCTTGGCGATCTCCTTGGCTGTCGCCTGGGCAGCCTGGAAGCGCGAGGTGACCTGCTGTAGGCTGACGGTCACCCTGCTCTCCCCGCTGGACTGGGCGAGCTCCGAAGACTCGTCGCTGATCTTGTCCAGCTCGGCCTCGTTCTGACGCAGGCTGACGATGAGCGCCTCGTACTTGTCGAGCTGCTCGCGCTTCTCCTCGAGCGTGCCGCGCGGCTGGTAGTTCTTGAGGGCCGCCTCCGCGTCCGCCAGCCAGCCGAGCAGCCGCTCGAGCGCGCGCTCGTACTCGGCCCACTGCTGCAGGCGCTTCTCCACGCCCAGGCGGACGTCCTCCAGCTGCGAGCCAAAGCGCTCCAGGTCGAACCTGCGCAGACACAGAGGGGGCGCCGTTGAGGTAGGCCGTCCCGTTGCACAGAGCGCACCGACGGGACGGCCTACCTCCCAGGCGCCATGAGCTCTCGCAGCAGTTCCTCACCTGAGCGACGCCAGGTCGCGGTCCATGGTCTCCCGGGCGCGCGGCGGTAGCTTGGCCGCCTTACCGCTGACGTGGTCCGCCAGGGACCCATGCCTCGCCAGGCCCTCCGATAAACCGTCCTGCAGCTCGGAGAGCTTGGTGAGGCGCGACTGCAGCGACACCTTGTTGCCGGTGTAGTCCGTGAGCGACGACAGGCGCTCCTGAAGCTGCTTCAGGAACTCCTGCAGGTCCTTGAACAGGTCCTGGAAGTGCGTGAACGTGTCCACGGCCTCCTCCAGCTGCGTGATGTTCTGCAGCCAGGCGTCCACCAGCCGCTCGTAGCGCTGCGCCGCCCCGGCCGAAGCCGCCTGCGCCTCGCCGGCCTGGGACTCCCCGGCACCGGCCAGGGCGGCGGCCTTCTCCGTCAGCGCCTCCACCACGCGCTTGTGCGATAGCACCTCCTGGAGGGATGTCTGCAAGAAAGCAAGCATCATCAGACAACTGGAACTATCTTCAAATTGTCTCCAAGTAGCCTTAATTTGAGTTCTGATCCCGGCGCGATGCATGCTCGCTACTTACCTTGTTCTTGAGTAGCTTGGCGCGCACCTCGGGGATGGATCCCCAGGGCGCGGCGCCAGACTGCTCGGGCTGCAGCTGCTTCTCCATGGCGTCCAGCCACGCCAGCGTCTGCTGCAGCGCCTCCTGGAACTGGCTCCACTGCTGCGACACGGCGTCCTGCCGCTTGCGCTGCTCCTTGAGCTGCTCACCCAGCGCGTCCCAGCGGTCGCGCACGGCGCGCATCTCCTGGCGGACCTGCTCGCGCCCGGGGGCCGCCGTGTCCGACAGCAGGCGCTCGCCGGCCGCGCTCAGCCCGGCCAGGCGGTGCTCGGACTGCTCGTGCTCCGCGAGGAGCGCCTGCAGCTCGGTGGCCGCGTCCGCCGCCGCGTCGGCCGCGCCCCCATGGCCCGCGCCTCCCCCGCGCTGTCCGACCAGGCGTGCCAGGCGCGCCTCCAGCGGGCCCAGCCACGCCTCCGTCTCGGCCAGGCGGTCCCGGTACAGGCGGTGGTCCTCCACCAGGCCCTGCCACCTGTTCACCACCTCCTTGCTCAGCACGTGCAGCAGCTGGTACCTGTTGCTGATCTGCGAGATGAGTGGCTTGACTTTCTCGGCGCGGCTCAGGTTGAGCAGCGCGTGCGACCGGTCCACGAAGGCGTCGATGTCCTGCTCGCGCGCGGTGATCTCCTCGCGGTGGCCTTGGAAGGCGCGCAGCTGCTCCTCCTTCTGCGGCAGCGTCGACTGGAGCTGTTGCGACCGGAAGACGGCCTCCGTGGCGCGGAACCACTTGGTGTGCACGTCCAGCTGCTGCTCGAACTGGAGCCACTGCTGCAGCGCCTCTTCCAGGCGCGCCTTGACCGTGGCCGCCACCTGCAAGTGGACGGCGAGCGCGTCGCGGGACTCGGCCTGGGCCTGCCGCAGCGCGTCCACGCCCTTCTGCGCCGTGCCCTTGGCCACCACGCCCAAAACCTCCTCCAGCTCGGCCAGCTTCTTGTCGCCCAGAGCCTCGCGCTCCTGCAGCGCCTGCAGGTCGGCCAAGCGCCTCGTCAGGTCCGCCTTCTCGCCGCTGACGTCGTCGAGGGCCGCAAGCTCGTTGCGCTGCTTGGTCAGCCAGTCGCGGAACTCGTCGCACATGGCGCTGAGCTGCGCGTGCCGGCGCACGCTCTCCTCCAGCTGGTCCAAGAGTCGCTGGGACTTGGCCACGATGTCGGCAAACAGCGACTTGATGCTGGTCAGGTACGAGCCCAGCGAGGCGTCGCGCGTCTGCTCGAGGAGCTGCTGCGCCTTCTCGCACACGGCCTCCACCAGCTGCTGGTGGGACGTTATTTCCTGCTGCATCATCTTGTGGTTCTGCAGCTGCGCCCGCTTCTCCTGCAGCGTCGCGCGCTTCTCCGTGTGCTGCGAGAGAATGGAAGAAAGTCAATCACAAGGCAGGCCACTCGTTTACCCATATGTCTAATCTCTAAAACTAGTGACAACTTCATTACGAAGGTTTTAGAGTGAAAAAACTTGTAACTTTGCAATGTACGATTACGACAAACTCACGGTACCACAACTAAGTACTCAACAGTCATTAAAATTTAGTCAAAGCTATGAATAATTTCAGGTGCCGGACGGTAAGTACACACCTGTGACATGGCGCGTTCCACGTCCAGCAGCCACTTGGTGAGCTGCTCTTGCGCGGCCTGGAAGTCGGACAGCTGCGCGAGGCACTGGTCGAGGCGCGCGGCCGCGGCCTGTAGGTCGTCCGAGAAGCCATCCCACTGGTGGCGCAGGGTGCGCAGCTGCTGCCGCACCACCTCGCGCCCGTCGGGCGACGTGTGCGCGTACAGGCGCTCGCCGGCCTCCACCAGCGCGTCCATCTTGGCGGCCTCGGCGGAGCGCACGTCCTGGAGCCGGCGCATGGCCACCTGCCGCTGCTGCAGCGCGCCCAGGTCGCCCACCACGGCGCTCAGCTCGCCCAGCTCGGCCTGCACGCTCGGCAGCCAAGCCATGAAGTCCCGGTGGCTGTCGTCGAAGGCGGCGTGCTCGCGGACGAACGTCTCGTAGCGCTGCACCGCCTCGCGCGCCACGTTCTTGAGCGCCTGGTAGCGTGTCAGCAGCCGCGACACCTTCGAGTGCAGCTCCGTCTCGGTCTCCAGGGCGCCGCCCTGCGTCGCCGCGGCGTTCAGCTCCGCGCCCTTGTCCAGGATCTCGGTCTCCAGCGCCCGCAGTTTGTCCAGATACGCCTGCTTGGCCTCGCGCGAGCTGCGGAGGCTCTGGTCCTTGGCTGCTGCTTCCTTGGCCTACAATCAAAAGTAACATGTCATCAATTCGGTTCGACATTAGAATGAAAAGTAGATATACAGATTCTTTAACTTTTTCTTCGCAAATGGGTGATTTCACAAATAAGATGCATGTCGGTGTCCGAGAATTCAACTCATCTGTATTTCTCCCAATCGTCACTGTAGCTAAAACGAACACATTATTACCAAAATATAGCGTGTCTGAGACTTGGCAAGGCAATTTAATTGCTTTCAAACACATTCCATCACCATTAAATATATCTTAAACTTCCCTAGCAGACGGAAAATGCGCTGTCCCCGACCCCGCTTTACTGTCTGTTTTCGTTATCATCGCTCGTACCTTTTTGAACCTGGTAAAAACACCCATGTTTTTCGTTAAACAACTCTATGATACATCGTATTACTACTATATCGAGGTCCCAAATCATCAATAGAAGAGAAACGAATACTTTAAAAAGTGTCACCAGGTTTGTCAGAATTCGTATAATCGTTGCAGTTATCTCAAATTTCTCGTAAGGTGCAGCGTGCAGTGTGTAGTTAGTGCTCACAGTCGTATAAGAAAGTAGTAGGAATCTGGTGGTCAAAAGGTGATAAGGTAAATATAATCTTTTTCGTTTTGAAGTCCGTTAAACTAACCCTACTTCGTGCGTGTCAAAACCACAACTGAACCTATTATCTTAAATGATTTTAAAGTCAGAAAGTAGTTGGTCGTGAAATATGTGTCAGAGAAGAGCTGCTTGGGTTTCTTAGCTGATTTTAGAGTAAATCCGATATAAAATCTATATTTCTTCAGTTATCTGAGTTAATTGTCAATCGGACACCGTGACGAAGGGGACAAAATTCGTCAATTTTGAATAAAATACTATTAGTCTGCTACTGTATTCGATTGAGATAGTTAAAATAATTTATTAGACAATTTCTGACGTGGTAAATTAACCCTGACAAAGCTTGAAAAACAAAACATTTGTTATTATGCCTTTTGTAGGTTAGGTGTGACGGAGGGAACATATAATAAATATTTTAACATAAATACTTGTGGTGCGGAGCTTTTTTCAATGAAAATAGTCGTGTTTTAGCATGAGCAAACGTCTCCAGTTGTAAAAGAACCTTGCCACATCATTATAGTACAAAATATATTCGAGGTGGACAGCCACCCTTGCAATTTTGGGGGAATTACCAAGAAATAGGTGGCTGGGAGCTCGCTAAAGAACGTTTTCTTTCTTCATAGATACCCCTAATGCATTATAGATAGAAAAACCTCCACTTGCAAACGTTTTCAAAAACGAAAAAAAAAGTGACCCAATATGCATCTTATTTGTGAAACCACCCAAATACTTGATTTTTCCTGACTCAGAAAACTTTCCCTGCCTGACGCACCTTGACCCACTCTGTGAGCTTGTCCACTTCCTCCTCGAACTTGGTCCATCGTGAGCAGAGCTGGGTGAGCTTGGTCTGCGAGTCCTGCAGCTGGGTCTGCACGGCGTTGAGGCGCGTGCGCAGCTCGTCCAGCTCCTGCTGCAGCGCGGAATGCCCGGAGAGCGCCGTCTCCCGCAGCACGCCGTCCAGTTGCGCCCGGCACGCCTCCAGCATCGCCTCCCCTTCGGCCCGCTGACCGGCCAGCTCCTTTATCAGGCCGAGCTTCTCGTCAGCGTCGTCCTTCTCCCGCGCAGCGTCGTCTGTCACAGCTGCGGCCTCGCCTGCGAACGCCGTCAGCCAATCGCGGGCTTTCTCGAGGGTCTGCAAAGCAAAGGAATGATAAGCAAAACTATTGTAAAAGTTTGTACATTTCGTGGAAAATCGGGGAAAATCTGCAGAGAAAGTACAAAATTTACCACTTTCTCCCCACTTTGTCGTCAAATTTCCCCGAATTTCCCCAAATTAAGTAGTTTTAATAACTCAGCAAATTTAGACTTAGTATGATATTTTCAAATTAAGAGGCAAGAAGAAATAATTCTGTTTACCTGTGAGTAGGCTTCGTGGTTGACGACGTGCTTCTCAGCCACGGCCACGCGCTCTTCGGCCTTGGTGCTCAGGTCCTTGTACTGACTCAAGATCTTGGCGAGCCTCGCCGATGCGTCCGCGTCTTGAAGTCCGGCCGTCTTGTCCTCGAGCGTCCTCAGGATGGCGCCGTGGGATGCCGCGTCCGCCGCCAGAGTGCGCACCGTGTGCAGGACGCGCTTCTTGTCGGGCAGGGTGGCACACAGCTGCAGGGCGGGGCCGAGGCGGCCGCTCGCCTCCGTGAGCCACTGCTCCACCTGCGCCGTGCTCTCGTCCAGCGAGGCGCGCTGCATCATCACGCCCTCCACGCGCTTCTGCAGAGCGTTGGCGCGGTCCAGGAGCCTCTCGGATGCGTCCCGGAGGCGACGCAGCTCGGCGCGGACGTTCTCCCTGGTCTCGGGGGTAACGCCGGAGAGCAGAGCCTCGCCGCGTTCTACCGCCGCGCCCACCAGGGCCTGGCCGCGCTCGCGCTCGACCACGAAGTCCTTGAGGACCTGCAGCTGCGCCTGGTAGGCGGCGGTGGGCTTGGTGCCGGCGGACAGTACCTCCTCGCACGACTTGAGCCGCGCCTCAGCCTGGCCGAGCCACTGCTCCGCCTGCTTCACGGCCTCGGCGTAAAGCTTCTGGTCCTGGCCCAGGGTCTTGAGCTGGTCGACGAGCGCCCGGATGGTGCGCCGCAGAGCAGCGTGGCGCGTCGACAGCAGGCCGACGTGCGAGGAAGCGCGACATTCGGGGTTGTCCTTGGTCATGGCCTCGGCCAACTTGGTCAGCGCCTCAGTCTCGTGTTCAAAGTCCTCGATCTGTTTGAGGAACACGCTCATCTCCTGGATGTGTTCGTCGAGGCGGGAGAGGTCCGCCTGCCGTGCAGTCTCTGTCCTCATGCGGGCCTCGGCCTCCTTCAGCCACGAGGCGACGCTCTCCGACCTCAGCTCGAGTTCTCTCCATTGGGCGACGCCCTTCTCCAGCTGCACGCGCACCGAGGCCAGGCAGGCCTTGAGCCCGGCCAGGTCCAACGCCACCTCGTCCCGCTCCGAGCAGAGCTCCTTCACGGCCTCGGGCGTCTCCACGCCACGCAGCTGCTCCAGGCTCTGCACCAGCTCGGCCTGGCGCCGCTCGCAGTCGCCCAGCCCGGCAGTCAGCTCCTCCAGCGACGTGAGCTTCACCTCCAAGTTGTAGCGGTCGCTGTTCGGCTCCGGCTCGCACCAGGCGATCTTCTCCTTGAGGGCGGCGAGCGCCCGCAGCAGCCCGCCGTGCTTGTCGGCGTGGAACTTGCGCAGGAAGGAGCGCAGAGTGGACTGCACCTTATCCGCGTGCGACGCCACGCCCTCGTACCGCTTGCGAAGGCCCTGCAGCTCCTTGTTCAGGCCGGTGTTGTCGCCGAACGCGGGGAACTCCGTCTTGACAGTGGACACGGACTTCTCGACGGAATCGAGACTCGCTTTCAGTGCTTGCAGATCCACGCTCAGTTTCAGACACGTCTTGAGCCTCTCCAGCACGCGGGGCGTGTCGCCCGTCAGGTCGTCGCATTTGATGACGGCCTCCCGGACGCGCGACACGCTGTCGCCGACGTTCTTCATCTCGGCGCGCACCGCGGCCTCCTGCTTCTCCAGGGAGGAGGCGGCCGAGTCCAGCTGCTCGGCGATGCCCTTGACGTGCGCGAACTGCTCGCGCAGCAGGCGCGTCAGCGCGTCCAGGGTGGGCACGGCGCGACCCTCGTTCAGCTTGACGAGCTGCTCGTGCTTGGCTTCGATCGAGGCCTGGAGACTCTGCTTCATTGGGAGCTCCTCCTGGTAGCGGGCCAGCCGCTGCCGTGTCGTCTCCGCGTCCGACAGAGTACCGGACAGTGTGAGGCCCCCGCTGGTCTCGCTCAGCCACTGCAGGAGGTCGCTCTTGGCCTCCTCGATCTGCCTCCAGATGACGAGCTGGGCCTCCAGCATGTGAATGCGGCTCGCGGCGGCGTCGTGTGCCTTCTGCCAGCCCTGGTGAGCTTGGTTGAGAGCCTGCTCAACTTCTTCGTTGCTCCACCCTGGTACGTCCTGCACCAGCCTGGACAAGACCTGCGCCTTGCTGTCCATCATGTCCAGGGCGCCCTTGGCCTTCTTCACGTGGTCGAGGGCTTTCTTGGCACGGTCTAGGGCCATGGTGGCCTGGGTGATGTCGGTGGGCACCTCCCGCGCCTCGTCCGGGCCCAGGATGGCCATGGCCTCGGACACTCCGGCAACGACGCGGTCCCGGGCCTCGCACAGCTTGCGCCACGCGCCGCTCAGGTCCGAGTAGCGCAGCTTGGCCTCGCGCAGCATCTCTGATACCTTGTCCCAATTGGCGTCGTACGAAGCGAGGATGCCCTGCACGGTCGACGCGTTGGCCTGGTCCTCGGCCATCAGCTTCCGGCCCTCCTCGTGCAGCCGCTCACGGTCCGCCTGCGTCGCCTGGTGCTGCTCGTACAGCCGCGTGATGGCGGCCGAGGCCGCGTCCAGGCGCGAGCAGCGGTCCGCCGTCATCTGCGCCTTCTGCACGGCCTCCTGCGCTGCCAGCAGTTGAGTCGACAGCACCTGCTGCCGCTCCTGGAAGTGCGACCAGTGCGCGCCCACGGCGCGCAGGGCCTCGCGCCGGGCCGCCAGCTGCGTGCGGAGCGCGGCCGCCTGCGCGTCCAGAGCCGTCACCAGCTCCACGGCCTGCACGCGCACCTGCAGCCCGCTCTGCTGGCTAGTCGTGTCGATGGCGCCCGCCGTCACGCGCCACTGGGCCAGTTTGGCCACCGTGGCGTCCAGCTCGGCGCCCAACTTGTCCAGCTCCAGGTCCTCGGCGCGGCCCTCCAGCTGGTAGCGCACGTGCGCCAGCGCCTCGGTCGTCTCGGCGTGCCAGCTCAGCAGCTCCACCCACCGCTCCAGCACCACGCGCTTGCCCTGCAGGCCCTCCTCCATGCCCTGGTACTTCGATGATAGCGCGCTGTATGCCTCGTCCAGGCTCTGCGCGTCCTCCGGAGAGCTGCGGGGTTTAAAAAAATCTGTATAAGTTTTAAAGCCTTCGAGATGACGTTTCTAGGTTGACACTTGTTGGTCTGCCATCCACCTGAATTCGGAGAGCCTTTTAACCTCCTCGTAGATGGCAGCGAAGGTGGGTTGGTGTTCGGCGTGTTCCTGGAGTAGTGAGTGAGTCCGCTGCAGCAAGGCTCCCGCGTCGGCCGGGGTCATGGTAAGGGTTCTGATCTGCTGAGAGCTCTCGCCCAGACGCTCAAGCCAAGTGCCAAACTCAGCCAATCGCCCTTGGAATTCTTGTCTATAATCGTAGAAATCAGACGATTAAAATAATTACTGACAGTTGGAATACGTTATCTTTACGGTAGTTAGACTAGACAATTACCTTGACAGCAAAGCGTCCGAAGCGCAAATAATCTTGTGCCTCACACCCTCGGCGAGCTGTGTGAAGCGGGCGCGGCTCTCGGCGAGGCGCCCCTTGAGGGCGGTAGCCCCCTCGGGGGTGAGGTTGTGCATGAGGGCCTCGCTGGCCTGCGCCAGCGGTAGAAGTTGCGCCTGGTGCGAGCTCACTTCTTGTTGGAAGACCTAGTGTGCACAAAACAGGGTTTGTGAGTAAGTTCAAATAAAACCGTAAATGTGTTCATACAAAAAAAGAAAACAAAGTGGCTGTTCGCAACAAATTCTAAACTATCATGAACTATTTGTTCTGAAATTTGAAGCAACATCTCCTTAGTGAATAGTATCGCAATATGAAGTATTAAAATCAAGTGTGTTATTTTCAACAGCGACCATGGAAATAAACCAGGACCATAGCCACCCACCTTTAGGATGTCCAGCTGCTGCTGCAGTTTGGCGGTGCTGGGTGTGTTGATGTTGATGACGGCCTGCTGCAGGCGGGTCTCCCCCTGGGCGAGCCACTCCTCGATGGCGATCGCTCGCTTGTCCAGGTCCTTCCACTCGGCCACCACGCCCTCCAGCCGGGCCGTCTGCTTGCCCGCGCCGTCCTGCACTTGCGCCCAGCGCGCGCGCGCCGCGTCCACCTCGACGACGGCGCGGCTGGCCGGGGGCAGCTGTTGGCTGAGTGCTGAGAGCTCTTGGAGCGCAGTGAGCCGCTCCGCCACCTGCTTCTCGAACACCTTGGCCTGCTGCAGCAGATCCTCGGCCTCGGCCAGCGACCCGGGCCGCTGCAAACGCTGTGCCCCGGCCGCGACGCGGACCTCGGCCTGTTCCAGCCACGGCCGCACCTCGGCCAGCGCAGCCTGGTAGCGCTGCCACTGCTGGAGGTCCGTCTCCACGGCGCGGCTCTGCTGTTGGGCCGCGGACCGCACCTGCGCCACCTCGGCGCGCACGGCCGCCACGCGCTTCCGCACCTCGGCTGCGTCCGGGCCGGCCACGAGCTCGCCCAGCAGCTGCTCGGACTCGGCCTCCACCTCCTCGAGCACGGTGGCCTTCTGCGCGAGCTGTTGCTGCAGGGTCTGCGCGTGGCTGGCGCGCTGGTCGGGCTCCACGTCCGCGGCCTGGAGGCGGGCGAGCAGAGCCGGGGCCGAGGCCACCGTCCAGGTGTGCACGTCGCCGAGCCTCGACTCCAGTTGGCCCCACTGGGCCTGCAGTTGTTCCAGGTGCCGCACCCGCTGCTGCGTCGCCTCCAGGGTGGTCTGCAGCCGCGTCTCGATCTCCGTCACCTCCTTCTGCAGCACGGGCTTGGCGTCGGGCGCCGCGACGGCGCACAGCGCCGTGTACAGGTCGCGCAGCCGCTTGAGCATGGTCTCGGTGGCCTCGCGCAGCGCCTTGCACGTGGCCTGCTTGTCGCGCAGCTCCTCGGCGACGCGCAGCGCGTTGCCGCCCCGCGACACGGAGCGCAGCTCGGCGTTGGCGCGCGCCAGCAGCGCGGTCAGGGCGTCGCGCTGCTCGCCGTAGCTCTGCCAGGCGCGCTGCGTGCCCTTGAGGCGCGCCAGCTTGTCGAGCGTGGTCTGGTACGCCTGGTTCCACCCCGTCTCCAGGGCCGCCACGTGCTCGTGCAGGAAGCGCGGCGCGTGCGCGTCCCGGCCCAGGTCCTTGCCGCGCTGCAGCATGCTCACCACGGCCGACCGCTGGCTGTCCAGCTGGCTCACGGCGCTCTCCTGCTGGCCCACCAGCGCGCTCACCGCCACCAGCGTCTCCGGGTGCGGCTCGGG